TAGAAAGCCACTATCAAGTCACAGAAGACCAGCCTTTGCCAACCTGATGCCCTTGGGATGTTTTAGGTATACAGGAAGTAGCCTTATACCAAGTCAGACCATTTGTGGTCCATGTACCTCAGTTCTGTCTACACTGGCTGGCAGGGGCTCTCCAGGGCTTCAGGCAGGGTTCTCTCCCAGCTCTACCTAGAGGTGTTGAGGATTGAATCTGAGACCTTCTGTGTGCAAAACAAATGCTCCACTGCTGAGCTACATCCCTACTCCAATGTTTCCTAAATTCCAGGATTAGGATGGGTTAGATAACACAATATACACTTAACAAATAAATAGTATTGGAAACTTGCACCAACCTAAGACTGGGCACATGTTTTGAACAATGTTTTCAAACAGACTTTTTTATTTAAAAAAGGAGGAGTTTGATTGCTCTTATGTTCGTCTAATATCTGAAAAAGTGGTTTTTAAAAAAAAAAAGAAGAAGAGGAAGGAAGGAAGGAGCAGAGCTGTACTTGCGATAAAACAAGGCACAGTGGCAGTTTCAGGGCACCATTAAAGTATGGGAGAGCCTGTGTGGCACAGTGGTTAAAGAGTATTGGACTAGGACCTGGGAGATAAGGGTTTAAATCCCCAATCAGCTATGAAGCTCGCTAGGTGACCATGGGGCAGTCACATTCTCTCAGCCCATCCTACCTCACAGGGTTGCTGTGGGAATTAAATGATGAGGGGAAAGAGCCATGTACAACACTTTAGCTCTTTGGAGAAAAAGGTGGGATATAAATGCAATAACTAAATAAATACTGTGAAGTTATTCTGCACACGCCTTGTTAGGAAAGGTTTGATGGGGGCGGGAGTCTGTGCTCTCCTGCAACTCCCATTCATTCCAATGGGGTGCGAGCAGGAGAATGTCCCAGAAGATGTGAGTGAGTGTGTGTGTGTGTGTGTGTGTGTGTGTGTGTGTGTGTGTAAGTAATGCCATTTAGATTTTCCATCTCAGGACCTGAAACACTGGCTGACCCAGGTGGGGTGGAAGGGCAGAGAAAGAGGATAGATAGCTCAGAAGGGTTTGAGCTCCAGACAAAAGAGGGTGGGTATTTTTTTAAAAAGAGGGCTATGCTCTACTGAAATTGCTCCCCACAATTCCCGCCCTCCTCCCCCTCAACCCAGCAAAGCAGACGCATCAGGAGATTTCAATAGCCGGCCAACCACCCCCCACCACCCCACCAATCCGTACAGCATGAGACCCCTTCTGTTCTCTCCCTCGGCTCACTTAACCCCTCCCCCCAACCGCTCCACCTCGAAGGGGAGGCCCCACAGCAAGGTTGTAAGAGACAAGAGGGAGAGAGAGAGAGACAGAGCACACTGTTTGGAGGAGGCAGAGAAAAGAATAGGGATCAGCGACCACGGCTTTCATCTCACTTTGTATCCCCAGGAAACTGTTCCCAAGGATTAGGCCAGCCGCCATGGATATTCATTCATCACTCACTCCTTTCTTTCAGGGGTGGGGTGACCTTGCTGCTCCCACAGAGATCCAGGATGGGCTTAGCTGATTAGGCACCGTAGCAAAGTTCAGAGGCAGGCTTTTCCGCAACCGAGTGCCCTCCAGCTGTTTTGGACTACAAATCCCATCAGCCCCAGCCAGTCAGCTAGGGCAGATGGGAGTTGTAGTTCCGAACATCTAGAGGGCACCCGGTTGGAGACTGGTTTAGAGGGAGGGGAGATGGCCTGCCCCCCCCCGGAAAAACCCGTCTCTGCATACATACCCCAATAGGACTAGCTTTATTACAACCCAATCCTACAGCAACCTCAGTGATTTAGGTGAGGATTACTTCCAAGTAGTAGAGCATCATATCCTCTTCCCAAACTAACAGAGACTTTTGGAAGACTAACCCATTTAGCACAGCACAACTTGCGTGGCCTGCTTCATTGTATCAAGTCTTTTTAATGGGTAAAAAAGAAAGAAAAAATAATGAAAACTTGTGCCTAACTTTCAGGATAAACTTTCATTACACTTTTAAGGAACACAGAGCACACACATTTGGCAGAGAGAGGAGATTCCTGGACACGAGAAAGGGAACGATCCCCTGAAGAAAGGAGGGCAGTGATCAACTTTCCTGCAACTCCCCCAGACAGCCTCAAGGAAAGGTCTCCCTTTGGAATGCCTTCTGTTCACCTTGGATACTGAACTCTACCAGAAATTGGATTAAAACGGCACGCACTGTGACATTAGCCGCTGGCAAAGTTCTCTTTCGTAATCCCCTCGCCCCAAAATGAAGGGGGACTGCATAGGTTCCCCTTTGTTTCTGTGGGTTTTGAGCAGAATTGTTCCTTTAAAAGTCATTCCCTGCAAGGGTGGGGGGGCGTTGTTTCCTCTAGGCAAAGTTCTAACCTTGAGCCCCATATCTCAGATTTCAACCACAGGAAAAATGACTTAAAAGTATCCTCAAGAAAAGACTCCCAGCCACTGCAATCCATCACCAAAATGTGTATCCACATTCACAAACACCACCACCCCCCGCCCTGAAAAACTAAGAGTGAAAAACTAACAGTTGTGGGTTCAAGCCCGACATTGAGCAAAAGACACATGCAATGCAGAGGGTTGGACTAGATGTTGCTAGGGGTCCCCTTTCAACTCTACATTTCTATGATGCTATACTAAGATGCACTACAGGTCTCACAAACTGTTCAAAAGAGCACTCAGCCCAGTTCTGGGTGACAACGGTTCAAATCAAAGATAAAGAACTACGCAACTTTTAGAAGTAATCTGAAGGCAGCCCCGTATCAGGAAGTTTTCAATGCTTGCCATTTTATTATGTTTTTATATGTGCTAGAAGCTCCCCAGAGTGGCTGGGGAAACCAGCCAGATGGGTAGGATATAAATAGTATTATTATTATTATTATTATTATTATTATTATTATTATTATTATTATTAACTTATCCCAACTTGAACAAAGACCTTTAGCTGAACAGGCATTTTAAGTCCCTATTTATTTTGGGGGGAAATCCAACTATTTGGGGGTCCAGTCATTTTAAGGCCTAGAGGTAGAAAACCCAATCTGAAAATCCAAATTTGGAAAGCCGGGAGGGGATTTGATTTGGGTATTCTCATCTGGATTGTCCACCTCAGGGCCCCAAATCTACTTGGGCTAAGACACTAGTTGGATCCGGACTCAGCTCTCTGTTATTAGACAACCAAAGAGCCACCATATGCTGGGAATAGGAATGGAACAGCTGTGCTGGCTGTTGATCACTTCTATAGCCCACCCCCCTCCCCGCCTTCCTCCCTAGTTCTTTGCTTCCAGACCTGCTACTTTCCTCTGCACACACCCCAGGGCAAGTCTTCTTGCTTGCTGAACATGCAAATAGGCTTGAGGGGAGGGTCACGATTGGTGAAATATGTCAGAAAGTCATTTATGCAGTTCCTAGGAGGAGGGGCATTTGCCAAGGGGGTAGGGTGACTCCCAGGTGAAAGGTTTGCAGATTCCCCAAACATACTCTTCCCACCTCAGTTTTCTGGTGGTACCTCTCCCAACCACAACGGCAAAGGGACACAAAGAGATAACTTTTAAACATTTAGGTAAATTAAGTGTACAAGATCCCCAATTTCACAAGAGTAGAGAGATAAGTCCCCCAAAACACCTGTTGGTCATCAAAAAGACCCCCACTTTAAAACAGACACTTATCAAAGTTCACCACTGAACTTTGGGACTTGGCAATCACGGAGAAACTAACATGCCTCCTTAATCTGCTCAGAAACACGAAGGCAACTGACTAATTCTCAACAACTTTGGAATGACTTTATTTTTTACGTTAACTCAGGAAGATGGTGAGAGACAAGTCCCAGCCCAGACAGACACAGATGCACATGAAAGCTTCATTCTGATTTGTAACAGGAGTTAGGAGATGCTACTTTTAAAAATAGTCCCCAAGGTGACCTAAATGTTAAGAGAAACGCAAAAGAGATATATACTCTAGAAATCCTTCTCCTCACCTGCACCTGGGATTTGAAATTATCATGCATCGCTATATATAGCTATGCTGTTTAGATGTATTTATTGCTGCATATGTTATTTTGGAAAATTACTGGTTTCTTATAATAAAAAAAGCCTTCACTACTGCAAAGAACATTGTGTTGTAAAGCCATGTCTCCATTTGAGACGCAGAACATGAGCCCCAGGGCCACATCCATTGAATGTTTGAAAACTGTGTCTCTGGCCATATGCAGAGTGACTCTCCCTCTTTAACAGAGACACTGTCGATCTTCTTCCAATACCCAGAATTAATGGGGAGGGAGCCCTGAGACATCATAGCTGGCATTCCACACAACCTTGGACCAAAAGAGCTTATTTTTATTTTTATTTTGCAAGTGAGAAGGGGATCTGCCAGTCAACCACTCAGGCCCCAGATATTGGGGGAAGAAGGTCCAGTTTGAAAGGGTTATGCCAAGGTGGAAAATCCAAAATCCAAATAAAATACCCCCTCTCAAAAAAACCAACAACAAAAAAACCCAGTCACTTTCTGATGCCTAATCAAGATCCAAAAGAATAGGCCTAATCTTCAGGGAGAAATCAAGCATCCTTCAGTATATCTCAGGTTCAGCAAAAGCTCCAGCACCACCCCATGGGCCAAGCCAGACAAAAGGCCCAGGGTCTGCCCTCACCCCACCACTGAAGAACTAGACTTTCCTCCAAAATATCCAACCAGCATCACACAGGCATTCAGCCTGCCCCAGTACAATACCTTTCAATTCATTACCTCCCTAGAACTGTTCTGCAAAGAGAACTTTGCCGAGTTAAAAAGTTTTGAAAAACACAACCCCTAAGCCAAGAAACACATCAGGTCCTTGCGCAGACTAGAGAAGTCATTGGTTTCACTGCCTGCTTCAAAACCCAATAGCCAGACAGGATCAATATAGCTCTAGTCAATAGTTGATAGGTCGCTGGCTATTGCACACACACACACACACACACACACAGCGCTCTGGAGATGGGAGAAGGAGACTCACCGTCTTGGAGTCCAGTTCGTGTCTAGATTGGGCCAGTACCTTGTCCACACCAGCTTGGTCCATGAAAGTGACAAACCCGAATCCTCTGGACCAGGGAGAGGAGGTGGGAAGGAGAGAGAAAGAGACGGAAAGGAAGTTGGTTAGAAAGAATGGATCTGGTACAGGAGGGATCAGGGGGGGAGCGAGGGGGGGCATCTCACCTGGATCGCTTTGTCAGCGGGTCCCTCATGACCAGGCACTCTTTCACCTCTCCAAACTGGCTAAAATACTCCCGCAAGCCTTCTGCAAAGCACAAGAGAAGGACACAAATGGGTCCCCTAGGCAGGTGGCGGCACTGTGGGGGGGGGTGTCCCCGGGTGATGCCTCTTTCCTCCCCACCCCAAAGCTTACAGAAAAGAGGGAGGGGGCTATTCGACCTCTGCTGGCAAAGAGTGGGGTAGATCCTACAACACTTGGAGGTGGAGAGAGAAGAGGGAGAGGGGCATGCTCGAGGGGAAGCTTCCCCCCCCCCAACAGAGAGGGAGAGAGGGAGTGTGGGGGGGAACCCTTGCAAACGAGTCCGAACAGCGCCCCTTACCCAAAGCTATTCACAAAGACCCACATGGGAGAAGCCCGCTCCCCCCACCCCCGCCATGAAAAGGCGCATCTAAGTTCTGTACATCGCAGAGAAGATTTGGGGAGGGGCAGGAGAAAAGGCGTCAGAGGAGTTGGGAAAGTTTGGGTTGCAGGTGCGGCTCGGCCAGAACCGAACCCAGAAGACCCCCTGCCCCCGGCCCAGTAACTCTCTCCCTACCCCCCCATCCGCCCCAATACTCCCCACGCCGGGCCGCTACCGCCGCCTTGCTCTCACCTTGCGTGGTTTGCCAGCTCAATCCCCCGATGAACATTTTGCTAACGAGAGAGGGAAGAAAACACAAAAAGAGAGACACGGGGTTTTAAATCAGCACGCGAGAGCAACAAGACGGCCATAAAAGTTAAGCGTTTCGTATTCGGAGAGGAGGGAAAGCCCCCCGATCAAGGGCGGCGCGGGCGCAGGGGGAGAGGACGGGAGGCAGCCTGGGGGACCCCCGGAACTCCTCCGTCCATGGCGGGCGGCGAGCGTGGCGTTGGGGAGAAAGGGGGGGCGTGTGTGCGCCGCCTCCAGAGCGCTCGGGATGGCGGATCGGGGCGGCGGCAGCGGCGCCAGGGCGCCCCGGGGATGCGGCGGGCGCAAGCGGGCTGCCCGGCTCGGCGGAGGCGTGGATGGAGGAGGCGAGCGCGCGGGGGAATCGGCCATGTTGGCGGCTCCCCGCAGCCAGGCAGAGGAGAGAGCCTGCCCCGGCCGCCGCCGCCGCCGCCAGCAATCGGGCATGGCGGGGAGGCTGCCGGCCGGCCGAGAGCGTCGGCGTCGGAGAAGGAGGAGGAGGCAGCGTCGGAGGCGAGGGTGGGCCGGGCCGAGTACCAGGGGTCGTGGGGGGAGTCCGGGGAGGCGAGGCCGGGCTGGCTGGCTTCTGTCTCCATTCGGACCTCTTCTCCCTGCGAGGCGCAGCGCCACACTCCCGGGGCAGCTGAGCGTTGGAAAAGGGGCCGGACGGCCAGGCCATGCTGCCCCCTCCCCCGACCCCTCTCAGCCGGGCGGGGAGGAGGAGGAGGAGGAGGTGGAGATGATGATGGGGAAGGAGGAGGAGGAGGAGGCCGGGCAACGGCAGCAGCAGCAGCAGCGCCGGGGACAACCTGCCCGGCTCCTCCCACCCGCGGCAGCCGGCGTGAGCATAAAAGCCGGCCCGCCGCCGGGCAGCGCGCTCAGGGCGGCGGCAAAGGCGGCGCGCAACCAGGCTGTGCGCTCAGGGCGCCCGGGGCCGGCGAGGGAGAAGGCCTCGCCGGGGAACAAAGGCGGGCGGGGGGCCGGCGCCGGGTCCACCTTGGCCTCTCAGGCGGGTCCGGAGGCCGGGAGATGCCGGCGGGGCTTTTGTCCTGCTCTACCTGCTGAAGGCGGCCGCGGAGGAGGCGTCGGCGTCGTCCATGGTCAAGGGCGCCGGGCGGAGGACGGAGCCGCCCTCCTCCCTCCGCTGCCTGGGCCCACCTGGCGCCTCATGCCTCGCTCGCCCCGCCGCTGGAGCCCAGCTTGGCGGCAGGAGCGGGGGAGCCCACGCAGGAAAGGGTTAAAGCCCATCTAGCCGGCAACAATAAACAGCATGTGACATGGCGGGGGACCGGCGCGCTTGAGGGAGGAGGAGGGTGGCCGGCCGGCTCGCTCGCTCGCTCGCTTGTGGGGCAGCCGCGGGGCTCGCCCGCTAGGCTAGCTTATTGGCCGCCTCAGCGCCCTGGCGACCCTCAGCGCCCAAGTTGCCCCCTCAGGCGCGGCCTTTTCGCGCGCTCGGCCCGCCTCAGAGAGGCGCGCGGGATGGAGCTTCTCTCGCGTGAGGGCCTCGGGAAGGACGGGAACGTGGTGCCTTTGAGGGGGGGGGTGAGAGAGGGAGAAGGTGCCATTTTGGTTTGGGGAGCCGCGAAGGAGCGGGCAGTGCATCACCCCCCTCCCCGGAAAGTGGTCCTGTCCGGAACTTCGTTGGACCAAGCGGGCCGGACCTTGAGAGGGGAAAAGTGGGGGAGTTCCTTTTGCCACTTTTAACCATCTCGACCCAGGGCACAAGTCGCCTCTGTGTGGGTGGCGCTGGGCTCCCAACTCCACAACCTTCAGAACCCCACAGATGACCATCTCGACTGGGCCTGCTGGGAGTTTGGGTCCCACAACATTTGGGGGTCTCAGCCCGCCCCCGTTGTTGGGATTCATACACCAGGTGCAGAGAGGTTTTGCCCCACACCTTTTGTTGGAAGCACAGCTCCCATCATCCCTGGCCATTGGGACATGCTTGCTCCAGCTGATGGGGGAGTTGTAGTCCTGCAACATCTTCAGGGGCCCACAGATCCCCACACACCTGATTTACATGCAGGGCTTGAGGTGGTGCGGCTTCAGGCCAAGTAAGAGATGTCAGCGTGGTGTAATGGTTAGAATGTCAAACTAGAACCTGGGAGACCAGGATATGAATCGCTACTCCGCTATGAAGCTCATTGGGCATGACCTTGGGAGCCAGTCACTGACTCCTCACAGGGTGGTTGTGGGGATTAAGTGAGGAGGGAGAGCTCCATGTACGCCGCCTTGAACTCCTTGGAGTAAAAGGTCGGATATAAGTGCACTAAATATAAGTTCCCCACTTGGGAATCTATGCCATCAGAAAAAAGGAAGAGCTTTCCGGTACTCCCATAATCACTGGCCCAGCTAACAATGGAGCGCTCAGAGCTTTCAGCCCTACAACCTCCCACCTTGCAGTCTGAAATGGTGCAGTTTATGGGACCCTCCAACCACCTTTGTGTGTAGCTCAGTGTGGAAGTACGTAATTAAATTGGTGTGCCTGAGGATTCCAGCAAAAGTATCTGCCTCTATTTTTAAAAAAAATAAGTGTCTACTGAGCCATGAGCATAGCTTGTGCTATATAAATTATAATAATGATAATAAATGAGTCCTTGTTTCTTATTCTGCTTGGAATTGTTCCTTTGGTCAGTTTCCAACTGGACAGCTCTTATCCAGGTGGGCAGGTAAACATGCTTTCTTTGAGTTCAGTCCACATCTGGGCCATCAATGACATCAGCAGCATCATACTATAAGTAGTATTCAAGCATTTCTATATTGTATTCACAGAAAGTCTTGGGGTGATGTACAATAGTTTGGAAATACATTGAAAGCAAATAAAATAAATTCAACTGGTAAATCAGGGTGTGTATCCTAGTTACCCAATGGAATGAAGCACTAGTAAAATCCAGGGAGCCAATTGCAAAAGGCACTGGAATGTCCTGCATTGGCATATGCCTATGTTCGTAAGGGAGGGGATTCCACAGCAAAGCACCACTGCAGGAAAGAGTAAAATGAGCCTCTTGGCAGATCTGTGCTATCTCCAGACTCCCCTAAAGATGCACAAATCTTCCATGTTGGTGTGTTTGCATCCTAAAACACGGATGAGAAGCATCACTTCCAGGTTGCGGAATGTGGCCCTCCGGAGGTCTCTATCTGGCCCTCAGAACTCTTCCCTGAGCCACACTCTTTACTGGCCCTGCTTTGCACCTTCCAGTGTTTCACCCTGTCTGGGACATGTCCTTGAATCCTGATGGTGCTGCTTGTTTGCCTGGGTGGAGGGACAGAGGGGTTGTGATGTACAAAACTAGCCTACTGTACAAAGGTAACATTTGCATTTATTGCTCCGCCCTCTTTTGCATCTGGCTCCACCCACCACTGGCATGCAGCCCCTGGGAGGTTGCCCAGAAGTCTGGGACACAGCTCTAGCAAGAAACTCCTATGGGAATTGAACCTGCAACCTTGACATTATCAGCACCAAGCTCTAACCAGTGAACTACCCACTTTAGGACATCAGTATCCTCCAAAACGCGGGTGGCGCTGTGGGTAAAAGCCTCAGCGCTTAGGGCTTGCCGATCGAAAGGTCGGCGGTTCGAATCCCCGCGGCGGGGTGCGCTCCCGCTGCTTGGTCCCAGCGCCTGCCAACCTAGCAGTTCGAAAGCACCCCTGGGTGCAAGTAGATAAATAGGGACCGCTTACCAGCGGGAAGGTAAACGGCGTTCCGTGTGCTGCGCTGGCTCGCCAGATGCAGCTTTGTCACACTGGCCACGTGACCCGGAAGTGTCTGCGGACAGCGCTGGCCCCTGGCCTCTTGAGTGAGATGGGCGCACAACCCCAGAGTCTGTCAAGACTGGCCCGTACGGGCAGGGGTACCTTTACCTTTACTATCCTCCAAAAAGAGTATGTATACATTGTGTTTGAACCTAAGAACACAAGAAGATCCCTGATGGATCATGCCAGAGTCTCACCTAGTCCAGCAGCCAACTAGATGCCTGTGGGAGGTCCAAAAGGAGGACCCAAGTACAAGAGCATTCTACTTCCTGTTTCTAGGAACTGGTATCCTTCTCCCTCAGGGACGCGGGTGGCGCTGTGGGTAAAAGCCTCAGTGCCTAGGACTTGCCGATTGAAAGGTCGGCGGTTCGAATCCCCGCAGTGGGGTGCGCTCCCGTCGCTCGGTCCCAGCGCCTGCCAACCTAGCAGTTCGAAAGCACCCCCGGGTGCAAGTAGATAAATAGGGACTGCTTACCAGCAGGAAGGTAAACGGCGTTCCGTGTGCTGCGCTGGCTCGCCAGATGCAGCTTGTCACGCTGACCACGTGACCCGGAAGTGTCTGCGGACAGCGCTGGCTCCCGGCCTATAGAGTGAGATGAGCGCACAACCCTAGAGTCTGGCAAGACTGGCCCGTACGGGCAGGGGTACCTTTACCTTTACCTTCTCCTTCTCCCGCATGTCTTTTTTATTTAAATTGTAGGCCTCAGGACAGGGACAGCTTTTGTTTATTTGTCTTAGCGATTTATAATTGCTTCAAGACTTTTTTGTTGTTGTTTTTTAAATTCTCCAAATAAATGGCTGCCTTTTTACAGTAGCCCCAAACAAATTGCCGCCTAAGGCAAGCTCATCATGCCTAATGGCAGAGCCAGCCCGGCTTCCAGTCCCCGTCCTGCAGGAAGCAGTCTGCAGAAACAGAGCAAGCTAACAGGCTAAGACCCGATCCAGATGCTTAGACAGAAATACATGCCCCAAATCCCTTTCTAAGCAGCTCAGGGTGACAGCCTTGCTTCCCCGTGGCTTTGCAAAGGTATTTTCTTTGCACCAACCACCTGACAGGTCAATCTGCATCTCCTAATTGAGACGGACACCTTCCTGAGGAAAGATAACCCTGAGAGGAGAGAAGGGACTCAGAGTCTTTGTTTCGGGAGAACCTTATTCCGCCCAAGGGCTGCAAGCCCCTTGAGGGCAATCTTTTGGGGAACACACGACAGTGGGGTGCAAGGCCTGGGGCAACACTGGGTAGTACCATTATTGTACGTTTTCCCCTTTGTACAGTATAGTAGTTGCTACACACAAGAACATAAGAAGAGCCTGCTGGATCAGGCCAAAGGGGACTTGTCTAGTCCAACATCCTGTCCTCACAGTGGCCGACCAGATGCTTCTGGGACCAGCAAGCGGAACCCAAGCACAAGAGCAATCTCCCCTCCTGCACTTTCCAACGACCAGTATTCGGAAGAATTGCTGCCTCTGAGCATCATAATAGAATCACAGAATTGCAGAGTTGGAGGTAAAGGTAAAGGGACCCCTGACCATTAGGTCCAGTCACAGACGACTGGGGTTGCAGCGCTCATCTCGTTTTATTGGCCGAGGGAGCCGGCGTACAGCTTCTGGGTCATGTAGCCAGCAGGACTAAGCCGCTTCTGGCGAACCAGAGCAACACACGTTTACCTTCCGACTGGAGCGGTACCTATTTATCTACTTGCACTTTGACGTGCTTTCGAACTGCTAGGTGGGCAGAAGCAGGGACAGAGCAACGGGAGCTCACCCCGTTGCAGGGATTCGAACCACCAACCTTCTGATCGGCAAGTCCTAGGCTCTGTGGAAGGGACTCTGAGAATCACCTCTAGTCCAACCCCCTGCAATGCAGGAATATGCAACTGCCCCATACGGGGATCGAACCTGCAACCTTGGCGTTATCGCCACCATGCTCTAACTAACTGAGCTATCTAAGTTCA